GTTTTGCAGTCCGCATCAATTATTATTGGTCAAATAAAAGGTCAAACAAAAGAGCAAACAAACTTGAGAAAGATGACGAACCACTTGGATAGTTGTTATTCAAGTAAAGAGTATAGGCTTAGAAACAGCTGAGGTAACCTTTGAAAAACTGTTATAGGAAAACGTCACAGAAGTAAGTGATTGATAATGAACCAGAGACTGCAGCATGAAAGTTTGCGAACTATGGTCTACCAGCCGAATGATTTCATGCTTAAACCAATAGGTGGTACGCGAAGTCACACCCTTAATCGTGTTTTGTGGTATTTAAGAATCAGATAGATGTTGACCTTGTTCAGTTAGAAAGAACATGTTGTAGTACAATACGAGTCTAAATCTGAGGAACATTTAGCACAGCAAGAGGATTAAGTTAAAACATTAAGGAAGATCGGTATTTTGAAGATGATGTGGATTAAGTGAGAAGGGCAATTGACTGTGGAAAATAAGGGAGAAATCAAGCAAAAAGTTGAAAGTAGCAAGAATTTGTATTAACTTATGTGTAACCTGCATGGGGGTACTTATCAACACTTCGTTTATAAGTATATGCTAGTCGTCACACCGAATAAAAGAATCAAATTCAGAAAGTATGCAATATGAAAACGGTCAATGACGTTTGGATTGAGCTCATAACTTCTAATATAATTGGTCAAAAATCTGTTCCCGGTATTTTGCGAGTCGCGTCAGATGAAGCACAGAGGAATCCTTACGAATGTTAATGCAATAAGCTAGCTACCGAAAGAAGGAGTTTGTGAATAGATTAAAGCTACAGGAGGAAAATTCACTATGTATTGGATGAAGAGGGTTGTCTAGAATCTCATTGGCAAAGTTTATACAAGAGTTGGTGCGATCATTTACAAGCCATGTGATAAATTAATAAATCAAAATCACATATACCGGATTGACCATCACCAAAGCACAAAAACTGATCATGATGTCTTGTTTTATTTGACCAAGAAACACTACAGGGGAGCAATAGACTAAAAATAAGAAAGCGCATTGGTGAACCAAAGGAGACATAATCGACGGTAGGATTTTGAATTGGCTAAGCATCCGTAACTGAAAATGAAGGCGGCCTAGTTTCCTGCATATAAGTTTGAATGTGTGAACCATCGGAGATTATTGTCGATTGTGAAATTCAGGTGCTTGACTGAAGTAACCTTAGACAGAGAGTTACAATCAAGGGTAGCAAAACAGGTTGTGAATCTTGAGCACGAAAGACCGAGTATACAATTCAGGCACTTGGATGTACTCAAAGTAAGACCGGATTGGTTGGCGAACTGTTGCATTTAGCCTTCTGCGAGTGCAAGCATACTCACGTTTATAAATAAGGGGTGATTTAAAACCGTAACAAATGTCCGCGAACAGTTGACAACACCGCAACGGATAGACACAACTGAGTTATTCAACGACTTACTACAAACATAGATTTTGCTAAACGCAGCGTCCAGTGTAGATCTGTTGGATTTGAGGAAGATCGATAGGAAATGAGTTTTTCCAGAATTCAAATCAACATGATGAGTGATGGTCCTGGAGGNGGCGACCTAGATTGACTCGTGATTGTACCTCGATTGTACTAACTGATGTTCGTGATGGCACGATCCAGAGAGAAGTGAATTACAGGAGAACATTTGAAATGGAGCCAGCAATAAAATAATCGATTATGTTGGAGGTCTCTGATGAAACATGCTCATGAGAAAGAAGTTATGCGCAGATACGGAATTTCGTGGTACATCAGAGCAGTTAGGATAAAGCTGGAATAGAACCCCCTAACTCTGAACGGGGATATTTCCATTAGTGAGGAGAATAGATTTTTTGTACTACAAGAGCCAGAGAAAACACGAAAATGGGCTAGTTTCGCATTAGAAGTTTTGAATTCAATCCATAAAATTATGTACAATTTTGTTGTTATTAACCAGGTTTTATGACATTTATTGTATTAAACTTATCTGTTACACACCTTTCAGTCGCTGGATCAGTTTGGCTAAGAAGTATCGCAGACGTCCAATACCATGTCGTATTCTGAACGAACAACTCAAAAATCTAATGGCTGTTTGGACAGACAGAAGTCTTACACATGATCAGGTTGGTTTCTTAGTTTATTTTTGTTTCATCCGTGTAAGATTTACGTTGTGATACTCTGTACGGAGAGGTCGAAAACAAAATTTTGGTTTATACAAACCGAGTAGATTTCTACGACCGTGGAATCAGGTCTCTCACTTGTCACTTTATATTTTGCTCACCAGGTACCTATGGTTCCTTTCGAGAAGTCTTTCTTTAAATTAGAAGTGAAGCATACCATAAATGTTCATTTTTATTGAATTCCAGAACAGTATCTATCGTTTCTTCTCCTAACATTCCTGAGACCGGCTTATCAAGTCTCAATAACCGCTACTCTGAGTCATCATGTGGAAGGGATATTCTAATCATACTCTCCCTAGATGGTCATAGAAAGATAGATGAAAATGATAGATAAGAATAATCCAAACAGAAAATATGCACAGCTTATTAATCTGAAAATCCATTTCATGCGGTTGGGAGAATTTTCTAGGGAAAAGTTGTTCAAAGAACGCAAGTGATGACGACAGGCGACAATCGATGAAACCACACAATCTGCAAAGATAACCTATTCAGGTGATAGTAGAGCAAAGCAATCACTATTGCCTAACTGAACAACTAGCCAATCAAGGCCACAGTTTTCGTGGCTTATCGATTCATGTGTCTCTAATTTATCGATTGGTTTGCATGTAAACTTACATTTTGAACTGATCAACAACTGACTGTACCGTTTCTCTCGTGTCATCGTTGTTCCGATTAAGTAAATAACTAATAACACAGTAAAGTGAACCACTCGTTCATTCGTAACGTGTACACAATACCGGTCTGTAGCGCAAGAAAAACATCAACATAAAAGCAGCCTATAAATCCGAATGAATTAACAAGCGCAAGCGTAACATGCATTCACAGTGTGATCAGGCAAGGCAATCGAGCAAGCAACGAATCAATCATGGGGAACAACTCAACGGTGAAATCTGATTGGCTTGAGCGAATCGATCCTGCATTAAAGTTGGTCATCTCAATATGCGTGCCAGTGGTAGCAGTCAGTATCACCTAGTTGATCAATAACGGAATAGCCACGTGTAGATATCATTTCAGTCAATGATAGGCCCGAACAATATCCTCTTACGCTCCTAACTTTCGAACTAAGCAACGAACTCTCACAGGATCCATGAGGTAAAATTTTAAAGATCTCAGAAGCATCAGGTTCAAATGAGCGTGTTCCTATAACCCGTGTTTAATCTTTTTCCACGTCATTTTAAGCAATTTGCTTGATTTGATCCATTGATATTTCCATGCGAGTTTAATCGTTTTGCTTTATAGGGTAAAATAATATTTTTCATGAAATACATTGCACAACTTTTCAAATTGGAAACTAGATGATAAAACAAAACAGCGATTTTATATTTTTTGTCTGATTTTTTGATATTCCAGTGTCTTTCTAGTAACGCTTTGTATCTAATGAGTCCCAATTAGAAGAATTATTTCTTTGGTTGAAATAATAATCAGGCAGCTACTTTCTTCCTCAAATTTTCGGTAATTTGAGTGATTACTTGAACCGATGGTGTTTGTTTTCCTGGCTGGTCTAGCTTATTAATATACACTGACGGTACGATGTGAATAAACCCTAATAATATCTATTCATTACTGTTTTTTAAATCACGAACAGTAAAGATAAATACCGCTGGATGTATCTAAAAAATCGCACGTATTCGAAAAACACCGTAATGGCCTACGGATAAAAATTAAGTGTGAAATAATTAGAGGTATTCCGTGGAAAATGGAAATCGGGCTTAGGAACGAGATCTATGAGATTTTTTGATAAATACCGTGTGTACATGAGGCGTGGTCTGAGAAGTTGGGAATCAGTGGACAACCGTTTCGATCCGGTTGGATCTCATCGAATCCGCCAACCGTACATGCAGAACACAAGCATAATTTACGTTTCACTCCAGTAAAACTATATTTCATAAAATATCTTTTCTTGTTAGTGTGGATACTATGCTTTTTCTCCTCAGACAAACTCTGGCTCGTCACTTAGCAATGAACTGGTAAAAACAGATGAGTGCACTACTTAAAACTCACAGCCCCTATTGTACGGATTCCCCATTCCTTTTTATTCTGTTCATCAGTCATACTAATTGAAATATCACTCTATTTAACAGAAAATTCTTTTGGATTTTGATTGCAATACATCATTTTCAAAATACATCCCTCTTGTTTATAAATGTTTGAACGTCGTACAGTTTTCAGATCAGGTTATGTAGAGACACGATATTGACACTTCTACAACTGCTTTCCAGAGAATTGTTTTTGAATATTTTGCCACCTTGAGTTGACCGAATGAGTTTCATTTCTTACTCATTATCATAGGACTGTTCTCAGTTTTATGAGTGTACGGAATTCCCTGAAAATGTTTCCCACATTTTTCGTATACATTGGGGGACTTATACGAGAGATCACCTGGAACGGTTTTAACCTTTACTCAATCAATGTGAAAATAATGTCTTCAAACGAGAAGCGTGACTTATATTGTACTTCGTGTGTTCTGTACACAAGGAATTAGGAGATCAAATCTCAGGTGAAACAGCGGCAGCAAGAAATCAATTTATGTCATGCATGGAAGCTTTTAAACTAAGAGCAACAATACAACGTGAGTTGAACTAACATCAGACCTGTCTCTCTATGAAATTATGCATAGTATCCGTTTGCCGGTTGCTCTTTTGAATACTGAAGGTAATAGCGGGTTTTAGTTTCTCTATATTGGAACGGGACTGCCAGAGTCAGAAGGTGTATAAACAAAACGCTGAACAGAAGCAGTTTGATCGTTCGCCAGATTATACGACGTGGTTTGGGAGTATATCATCCCCGATCGTTCCAGAACCAAATTATATAAAGCAGTTCTCGGGAATGGCTCCGATCATCTGCAAAAGTTCGAAAGCTGATAAACAGTAATGTTTTAGTGGAGCACGTAGCCTACTAATGGTCTCCGAATGAAGTCTCATATGTAGAAACGTGCTATGAGGTTCTTGTCAAATATTGTGTATATCCTGCAGACGCCGGAAGTTGAACCATTCGACGGTGGTCCATCATGCACTTGAACAGGAATGTGTTAGTATCGGCCGCTCTCTATCTGTTTTCATAGATGCGAATACAATCTGAAAATTTTTACCGAGTTGTACGAGAGGGTTGTTGTATTCACTTCACTGACGCTAAGTCTAATACCTGGATGATCTGAGTCCGATTCCTGCCAACGCCGCCCATCTTCCCAACTTCTGCAAATCCCCTGGAAATCTCTTTATGGCTGTGACCCACTTGCCAAAAGTTGATTGTACATTTTTATACCACACAAACACAAAGCGAATTAAAACCCTTTATTATATTATTACTATTCAAATGGGATGGAATTTTCCGATATCCAACAAAGAGCACTAGATAGCTGTTTCGTCTTGTTGGGGACTCATCAGCGGGGCTTTCCTTTTGTGTCCCTGTCAAGATTCGAACCACGATCCTTCGGGCTGGGACTTCAAACCCTAACCCTTAGGCTACACGGTTGATGGTTATCACCTTGTGCGAATGGCTCAATCGATTTTAGAGTATCAAGTTTGGATTAGCCCATTCGATTTTTCAGACGTACCAAGCACTCAAGACCATCAAGAGTGCCAAGTGCCTCTGAAAAATCGAATGGGCTAATCCAAGCTTGATACTCTAAAAATATCCTGTTTGTTTATTAACTATTCGTTGTTGGCTCGTATTCTAACTGACTGTCTACCCAACCAACTGACTGAATTCGTGGGGACGAAATCCCTCAAAATACACCGATCAGTACAAAATAATCTGGAATATCAATCCATCTTTCCACAGCCGTCTTCCCCGAAAATTCCTCCAGCCAGTGTTCGCTTTCCTTATAAGGCAAATGAGAAAACATGCTGGTAAGCAAACACGAGGAGCCCAAACTACGAGTTTCGTATTTTCCCGCTTTTCCGGGTTACCAATAAAGCTTTGTTTGTGCAAATACTGGGTTGGATTTAGAGCAAAAATGGATAGCGGAGAACACGATCAATGTGTGTTGCACAAAACGAACCGGCAGTTTTTTGTCCCGAAATCAGGGCTACTTTGCGCATGCGTATCTACATACATACACTAACACCCTCGGTGTATTTGGTGTATTTCCAGTCGAAGATGGGGATGACACTTCATGGCAGACGGATAAAGATCGACTTCATGCAGACGTTCGACGCGTACAGAGCAGATAAAGCGTGAACTGATAATGGAGGAAGCACCGTACAGATAGCTCTTTCAACCTGATTGTTTCTTATGAGCAGTGGGAGGATCAAACCGGCGGGACTTGGCAGCCGAAACATCAGCATACTTGTCATTTGGCCACCTATACACATATATACAAAACACAAAACAGTAGACTTTTTCAAGCTTGTTGAAGCTATCACACTCCATTCATCATAGCACTAGCGTCCATGGTTATGACTCAGGTAGAAGCATTCCGTACCTAGTTGCTTTCTTCACTTCTTTCAATGAAAACCGATTCCATTATAGGATAAATTCCTTTCTGCACAGAGGAAATGAATCATTCACAAAAAGAAAACTATTCATGTTCGGACTGTTTCAGCCCGAGCGCGATAACTTTTCCTGAACCAATTTCGGTTTCGTAAAGTCCTCAGCACCTGAACTATCAGAACTGAATCGTTATTAGTTAAAAGCAGCCCGTTTCGTCTATCAGATACGTGGCAAGTCTGTGAGGTGGACTGTTTGTTTAGACATGGTCGAAACTGAAAGAATAAAAAACAACCGTTGAGTGTGTGAGTTTGCTCATCAAGAGAAGTACCTATTTCTAATGAATGAATTTTCCAGAAAAGCGATATGCACAACCAAACGACTGTATTAATATAATGCGAGTAAATAGTAGATTAGGCTCAATTGGATTCGTGATATTCTAATAAATAATGAAAGAAAATTAATTGGATAGCCCCGTCTAAAGAAGTCGACGTAAGAAAGAAAAGATTGTCATTTGAATGAAGTTGACTCGAGTAAAAGCATATCCTCTTTCAAAGAAAATGATCAATTTCTCTATCTATTTCTTTCTCAATTTGATACTACTACTAAAGTGCAATATAAGTCAACTTTTATGCATGGCATTCCAAAGGATGAAACATCAGTAATTTTGAACATTCTGTTTTCTTTTTACAACTGCTTCCGCAATTCATTCACTTGGTTTCATCTGCGGTAAAAACGAATTGTTTCTCCTGGTCACAACTAACACCTGACACGAGGGTATAAAAACCCTACCGAGAAGATTCCGTCACATAGACCGCGTTAGGCTCCCTATATTGGGACCCCGCGATCGCGTTACCCCGTAGTTAGAGACATTGAATGATATGGCTAAATGTCATAACAATGCCACTCATGCCTCTTTTCAATTTCTTTGCAAACTTGGCCCACTGAAAATCCCTATTTTCTAATTGACTTTACCGTCGTCTTTCTTGTCTTCCTTCTATTGCACCATCGAATTTGGCCGTAAAAATACAGTAACCAAAACCAAACTGGAATAAAGTACTCACCAGTTCATCCACTTTCAGGAACTTGGCGAAAATTGATAGCCTAATGATCCACACGGGCACTAAACCACTCTGATGTTTTCGATAGAGAAAGATTAGTTGATACACCCGTCCAAACCTGATAAGACAAACAGTGCACCCTTATCCGGTATGTTTATGTGTAAGAAGGCACTGAATGGCTCATTTTGTAACAATGACCCTACCCGGTCGAAAGAGATGTACAGTGTTTCCTAGCTTAATAATTCACGCATCGTTTGCTCTGTACTCGACGATTTGCTTTCTTGGAATGACTCTTTTGTATGTACACTATACCCCAAATACTAGCTATTTTCGATGTATAAATGCTTTATGGGTTTTCTCGAATCAGAATCGTTTGAATCATCATGGCAACAAGCACCAAATTCAAATAGTTTTCAGTTGTGTACAAAATGGGCTAGTATGAGTGTACGGAACAACGGAAAATCGGTGCAGATCCTTACACCATGCGTTCAAACTCAGCATTAGTAATCAATCGCAACCTTCAGACCGCATAAAAATTATTCCTTGGACATCTTAGAATTGAAGAAGCACTTGTTATTTATACCCAGTTGCTTTGTAATGCAACCAGCATGCAAGCTGTAGGAGGAATATTAGGGCGAAACGGAAGTGACACCATAAATTAAATGGCTCACTGGTCGTCAAGTGAAGATTTCGTTCTCAAACTTTTCAAAGATTATTGAAACCTTTTGATTTTTTACTACCTCCGTGGTTTGCAAATGAAAAATCAATGACTTCTATTTTTAGTCGTTTCTTTTTCCATTCCGGCAATGTGTGTTCGTCGATGTGGCTGAGGCACTAATCTCAGGACACATCGGTAGGCAGGTCGTGCTCTATCGCTGGTAGATTAAACAACTTAGGTTGGCTGGCTGCCCAGTTACCAAGAATGTGTGCGGCTCACCTATGAGGTCCTATTTTGTTCACATCACAGAAGAGACCCCTGAAGGTTAAATCAGCCTTAAATTGCTTTCCAGACTGGTATGTCACGCTCTCATGACTCAACGCCATTTAATACAAATCTATCGCGGCACATGGCTTCATTGGACTGATTCCGTTCACTGTTACCTCACTACTTCTATTTTCGTTTTACATGAACCATCTTCCTCTCACAGCAGTTTTTGCAGGGGGTTCGTTTGTTATCTTTGGGTGTCCATTTAGATTGAAAAATGGATTGAAAACCATACTGTCAAAGGCAGAAAACTGCGTGTTCTGGTAGACTAGGGTCGCAAGGAGATTGAAAATATACAACAGCGCCGCTGTTTATGAAACTCAATCTATATCACTCTAACAATCGGTAACGATGATCCCGAGGTTTTCAACCAGGAAAATTAAAGTGACTTGTACGACCGAGTCTCCTGGTTAAGGTTTTCACACCCTCATTCCAGATCTTAGTTTGGCCTCCTTTGACCTTCTGTCACCCACTACGTGTCTCGGAAAACGTTTCGTGTCGTGGAAACCTGTTTGCTGACATGTTAAACACACGGTTCAACCAATGTGGGCTATAAAGGTCGACTGCTTTCCCCAGTGGATGACCGCGATCACCTAAATCTCTGCAGCTACCCTCAGTATTGCTTCCCTGGATGCTCTACCTAATGCAGCCGTGTTGAACACCAACAATCCATCTTTGGCTTGCACCCATAATTGCAAAGTCTGTGCACTGTAAAGCAGTACTAGCGGAACTGCTGCAGCACAAACTCGACTCTCCACCGACAGTCGAATGTCGCGACGGTGCCAATCAAGCCTTCCCTATGCATGACGACGCTTCATTTATGATGCGTCCACCAGGTAAAATATCACTGCTCAAGTACCAAAAAATATCTACTTCCATTGTTACCTACCTAACAAGAGTGAGGTTGAGGGCTGAGCCGATCGAATCCTGCAGCATCGCTTTGCAATTTCAAGGCGTAAAACGCATACTTAACATGGTTGAACTATCACACGAAGTATTCAGAAACCTTTGCAGCATAACTGAATCTTTACGCAACTGTATAACTTTGCATAGTCCAGTTAAGTTAATTTGCGCTCCCACAATTTAGATTTCATTTTTTATTGGGCTTTTTCTTGATGACATAATCGCTAAGATATTTGATTTTATCTCCCAACATTATTCAGTTATACTCCAAGTGAATAGTCAATGATCTGTTTCTGAACTACTACTATCTTTGAATATCCTTTATTACGTTTCACAAACTAATAATATGTACACTGAGAACCCGTAACAATTCCAAACTCCTGCACGCACCTAAAGCAGCCTGCCGATTCATTTCAATTGTACATTATTTATTGCCTCTTCAAAATGAAATGGTTTTGATGAACTGTCAAGTCAGTGCACCGTTAACCATTTCACGTTCCATCTAAACTAATCGTTATTTACTCCCATGAATGACAGAAATTCACAAAATCCTCGTCCTGATTTCTAAAAAGAATTTTCATTCTTGGTTTGACTAGACTTGTGTTTTCTCAATCATTCATTTTGTTGCTCATGTACCCGTTAATTTGGAGAAATTCAGACACTAGTTTAGCATTGTTCCTAAACTTCGTCACTTTTCAGTTATAGAGGAGAAAATCTGGAGGTGTAAACTAAAATCAAAACAGAATTCTATGCACAGCTTTTTGATGCAATGAATCCCACTTTCTCATTCCAATCCCGAACAGATGGAACTCTTGGGTAACTCATTCAAGGGATTCACCGAGCATGCAATTCTGCTGATCAGTCAGTGTCAAGTGGTATTTTCACCGGATCATTTGGAAAGTTTGCAACATCTCGAATCTCTGCTCAGGTAAATAAATCTCTTCCCCTGCACTCTAACCGGGCTCGCCAGTCCCGATTAAGCTTTGTCCGATGCTAGTCGTGTTGACATAAACAAAACGTCGGAAAAAAATCGGATGAATTTATCTAACTGAATGACATGCTTAGAATAATGATGTTTCGCTTTATGTAGTAATTACTTTACAGTTAACTTTTTATCAAGCGGTATTGACCCGGTGGTAACGTCACCAACGTAACACCCTGGGGATGTCTGTTCGAATCCCATCAACAGCGCCTGACTTGCCGCATTGGGTGTTGAATGGCAACCCTTTGATTGGCCACTTCCCCCTTTCTGAAAATTGTATCTTTATTCAATAAAAGGAATTGAAATGAAAAGAAAAAGAAAATCAAGAAGTGAACATTTGTGGAATAAACTGTCAATGATTTCAAGACCGGATATTACGCACTGGTGCAGAACACATCAGCTGAATAGTAACAGGTTAGCGCAAATAACTCAACAAGTGCTTTGCATAGTCAGTTCACTTCTTTTCTTGTCCTGGGACATCATATACCTTTTGCAATTTCCAGTTGTCTGACCGTTATTTCAAGGTAGGTGTAGTTTCTTCATGGTGCAGGTAGTTGCCAAAAATGCTGCAACAAACCTCTTGCACTTATTTGGCCTTCAATTTTAATCGCAGCGTTTCTAAAGAAAGTGTGCAATCTTCGCTGATCCACTTAACCAGCTGATTCACTCCAGCCTCATACAAACTGCATTTTACACACCACACCTTGTCTACAGCCATGAATCTTGGATAGGCCCAGTGAACTTCGACTGCGCAGCAAGAGTGCCGTCAGCACACGGATGGACTGGACATCAGGACCATTTCAAAAAGTACAAGCCGGTAATCAGACAGTCTCGTATTAGGGTGCCGCAGATCGCGGAATATAATCCAATTAGATAACAGAAAGAGTCAGAGGGAATTTACTTAAGGTCACGGGTGAGAGGGACGACACGATGTAAAGCGATGAAGCAATCGCACTGTATTGCAGCATCATTCGATGGAGGTAAGCAATGGCTCAAACGTTGAGCGCGCATGATTCACTGGTATCAGTGGTGGGGAACAAACACACAAAGAGGCGTACGCGTACTAGCAAGATAAACAACCGATATGTATGTCATGGGAATTGAGGTGTGTGACCTAAGCCCGTTTCACATTCATCCCCCGCGCTTCAACGGGAGGTAGAGAAATCGGTGCTCCATGGTGGTTCTCCAGACATCGCTGTGACGCTTGTCAGTACCGGTAAGGTCAACGTGACAGCTTGAACTTATACTCGGATAACTTGAAATGCTGGTCAGACATCTTGAAACATTGGTCAGACAACTTGAAATAATTATTGGGTATCTTGAAAGGATATTGGGACAACTTGAATTGCCAAAGGTATAGGACATAGACGTCGTTCGTTTGGCGTGCGTGTTGGTCATACCAGTCAGATTCTAACGTGACCCATTGAACAATCGAATGCCTATAAACGTCATTTGAAATGGCGCGAGGTCACCAATCGTACTAGTCACGTGAAACGATGAGTTGTGCAGGGACCACCTTATTTGAGTAACAATCGCACAGCACGTCCATGGTATAGACACAAGTTTATGAGTCTGTGATTGGCTTTGAAAACTATCTGGTCAGGGAACAACTGTGTATTCCAAATTTTATATTCCCCTGTCTATCAACTCGGTATTGTTAAGTCACTGTTGACTTCACAAGCTACAACAATCCACGTGGAGTGACGAGCAAAACAACCGGAAGACGGTGTTTTTCAACAGATGGGTTTCTTCTAAGAATACGGTATTGAAATACAGATTACAAAAGTGTAAAATATACAAACCTCAAACTGTGGTACCATACGGTTTAAAAAGCACCTGAATCTATGAAGCCCGTGATTTGACAAATAAGAACTGTACGCAAGTAGACGCGCAGCGCGATGACAACGAATGAACCAAACAATGCCAAATAAGATCAATGCTGAAAAGTGATCCAAAGGAAACCAATCAAAACACAATGGATATACATGTTGATGCATTTAATGATATTTGACACTGTGTCACGTGGATCCTTTGTACAAAGCGATTCCACATGCGTCAACAATTTGACTGAGCTTCGCCTTGGTTACGACGTTCTTCCAGTTACCGTGCTCCCATCGGTTGATCGCTTGGCGACTGCCATGTCAGAGATAATGTCAAGACGTAATGCTTCTGATTGCATAGTGGGGGTCAAGTACCTTGATGGCAATAGCTTCAGTCGTACACAGAAGTATAAAGCGGATTTAGATGAAAGCGTCCGACTGACGTTTACTTGGTGATTAATTTCGAGTAGGCTTCTAGTGGTGGAATAAGATCTACCTCGTACAGGATCAATCAATGGTAATTACTCTACCTATATCCATAAAAAGGGCCAGTTGGTGATTTTATGGAAAAACAGCTTGTTTCGCCTATCGGAGTTTATAAATGTTAGTCATCATGGCCCGCGGTGATGTGCCAGTGCGGTAAACCTGTATGTGTGTGTGTGTGTACACAGGTGTCAGCGTCAGTCGATCATAGGCACGGATCGGTGAGACAGGTGAGACCATTACAAAGAACAAAGTAGAGGAGCAGACATACTAATAATGCTTTCCTATGTGTAAACGGCCTAGAGAACAGTTATAGACACGGATCAATGAGAGGATAAAATCAACAAAACACGGACAAAGCAGGAAGATGGATAAAAGGACGATGGTGCGGGGTATATGCATGTGAACAGTGTCCATTTGAGGGAGAATTTATTCTACAGTTACTGTAGTCCAAAAAGGGGCTCAGCAGTTTAATTCTGTAGGTGAAGAAGTGTTTTCCTATCTTGTTAATCCCACAAATTGAGTCAAACCCCACTTTCCATATATATATATATATATATATATATATATATATAAGAGATCATAATTCAACCCTCCCCAATTTTCATATCGTGTTTAGAGTTCATTTTTCGATGGAGATGAATTATTTAAAATAAGAACAACATCAATTTCGGATACTTTCTTTCCTTCCTGTTCGAATCAGATTGGTTAACTAAAACGCCGTCGGAACCGAGTGGCACTTAATCTGCTAACGACATATTTTCATGTGTTAACGAAACATCTTTGTATGATGATCCTTCATTTCTCTCATTTGGTGTGCATTTATGTGACAACCGCGATTCTATCTCATCAGGTGCTTACAAGAATTGCATCAGTCCAGATTGTTCCAGTTCTGTTCTCCATTCGGAAATACTCTGCAGTCCGAGCTGACCAACGCCTTTAAGGTAGTCCCTGGTGTCCTGTGTAACGTCTATATAAAAGACCGACGTGCCGTTGCGGATGCTTCGTTGTCTAAATGTTGTATCGTGTCCTGGTCCAATAGACGCTCATTTTTTAAATTTCATGACTTCGTGGACTTGTTGTTACCTATTTCGATGTTGCGTAGCTTTTCCTATGTGAAATGACCATCTAGGCACACAGGCTTATGGACGCGTATCCGATGCTTGAATACGGCAGTCACGTATGGGGTGGAGCTTCGTATTCCGCTCATTCTCTCCTCAACCGTGTTCAGCGTAAGACCATCCGGCTGGTCGACGAATCGTCTTTAACTTCAAACCTGCATTGACTTTCCCATCGCCGGGCAGCAGTTGCTTCGTAATCTCTTTTCTATCGTTACTGTTTTGGTTTCTGCTCTTCCGAACTAGCATCAGCGAATTCCCTTCCATTGATCTTCTCTCGTCCATCTCATTCTCAGGCGGGCGGTCAACCCTATCGGGTTTCTGTCCCCAGATGTCGGACTTCTATCTTTCAATTTTCTTTTTTCCAAAGGACTGCGAAATAGTGGAACACTTCCCATTTCCCTGTTTCCCAGCTCTGATAACCGTATCCTTTGAAAAAGCAGGAGTCAAAAAATGGATCTTTACTTTAATGTTCCCCCACATACCTCCTCCTTACAGTATATCATTGATTATGTGGTTTACCCCTTTTGGTGTAAATCACTTCGTTTGTAATAATAATTGTAATAATAATAAAAATATGCTTCTTGAGTGATAGTCTGCATCAAACTTAGTGAGTGTTCACCAACCTAGCTTATGTTTCAAAGTTGTAAGCGGGTGAAGTTGAAGCAAACTACCTATAAATGGAGGTCATAGGTTTTAGAATTTAGAACTAGATTTTCTTTCATGTTATTCCATTAGCATGGTCCTCATCGTCAACAAGACCCATCATCAGGGCCCCTCTCCCCCCCCCCTATTAATCCTTATCATCATCATCATCATCATCATCACCGCCCCCAGCAATAACACTGTTTTGTTAAATTGTATCTTTAGAAATAGGATAATTAAAAAAGACGCAAAAACAACAATGTAACTAACGACACACTCAATGTTCCCGTTGTACACACATGTAAAATAAACCACTACATCCTTTCTTATGTGCAGTAATGTTTTGCACTTTTTCCAGTTGTCACAATACATATCATGTCGACCACACTATAGCCCAATATGTTCACATTTAAAAACATAATACGATTGTGGTTACCATAATTATTTACCTTCGCGGAGGTTGGGCGTGATGAATTGAACCGAATTTTCGAGGACAGAAAGGGGCATGAATACGCTGAACACAATTCAGCCCTCATCATCGTGTTGTGCTTCCGCTTCACTGGCTTGCCGACTGCATGAACACACAAAATTCCTTGTTGCCGTTTTTACTTTAATTGTTCCTTCTCAATATACATTTAACCAAATCTGTTTATCTCCCCAATCCTGGGATGGTCGATTGTTTGTCTCCTTTTAGAAACGAGCCACCAACAATTACAAACTGATGAAACCCACGGAGTCTGATTTGGACGAGTTTGAAGTAAGTGAAGCAAAATAACATGTGACAGTGTACGTCCCCACCCCAATCGCATATATTCGTTTTGATTCTGTTTGCATGTTCGATAGTAAAACTACAGAGTGATCATCACATTAACGCTATGTTCGAATATCGGTGTTCCACAAGATCTCAATTCCATACGTTAACATTTACAATAGTGAACAATTATAAAGTGATCGGCGCTTTACCAAACAAGCTCGTTCTTCACAGTCAATTATCATTCTGTATAAGCTTTTTTAATAGATAGCCATATCCCTGCGATGATTTCACGGAGTCTCGTTTGGAATCGAGATAATTATCTGCGGACTGTGTACCGTAAGACGGGGTCTAATCTGCGCATTTTGGCCAGTACGAAAGAATTTCAAATGCTTTAACCGTTGGTATTATTGCATACACATGTGACGATGGTGTACGGCTGAAAATAACCGCAAATGAATGCATAACAAAATCCTAAAACGTTAGTCTACTGAATGCATTTTTTTTTATCCAGTGGACTGGGCAATGAGTTGAAACACATCATACCGTGGGTAACATTTTACATGCTTACGATGAACTATTTTCTGGTTCTATCCTCGTATCCATAATTGCACATCTTCGGCGATTTGTTCCGTCATTCCTATTGTTCTACCTTACTTTAGGTCTCAACTAGCTTGGATGAATGATTGTTTCCTTCGTTCTCAAGGGTTCATTATCCCCTTTCTCGGGTTACATGGTGACCGCTCTTGTTTGTGTAGCCGGCTCCTTGAGTGACGTCGGCGCGTAAACAATTATAAATTCATGTCGTCTGTGCCCTGAATTTGGAAGTATGGTAAACACCAACGGGACTTGGGCGATGAGTTTCACTGATCCAAGGCCATGGTTAACTGGTTCTCATAGTTCCTGGAAAAACCTAGCGGGTGCGTATTTCTGATGAGCTGAAAAAGGTGCGAAATGAATGGTGCGTTTGCGCTGACTCTAAGCTCACGTTCACCTCAACAGTTAACAATATTTTGGGAAATTGTGGACGAGAGACAGGATCCTGATTTGATGACAAAGACCAATTGTTATTCGTGCAAAACGCTATCAGACGGCAGCGCCAAAATTTGAACAGTTTTCAACAAATACAAAATCTGACTGAGTCAATCAGAAGGTAAAATTAAACAAAAATTACGAGAACGTACAACACATCCGCGTGCAACTGGATAATCTACTGATCGTTCGAGAATAGCTACAAATAGTTTCATCAATAGATCCGGAATTATCATCCCATTTGGAATACCCTTCCGATGGTGTTATACCATATTGAGTGTCGCAAAACAATGCTCAAGTGAACCAGGTCCATATTGTGTATTTTTGTTTGGAGTTCGTGCGTCTCAGCCACAATATCTCTACCAAACGTTTTGGTTTTCTGACTTTCTCGATGGGGCTGGCAGCTGCCCTTCTTGTAAATGAGCAGTTCAATGAAAATTATGTGGAGGAGATTAGTGGCATCAAAAACTGTGTATTTATTATGAAGTTTTGACTTCATATGTTGAAAAAGGGTTTGAGGGTTAGAACTCGATCAAACAGATGCGGAGGTGAGCTGCCAATAAGAGGTGTTAAAATAATCGTCCGTTATAGCCCATGGACAGTTCAGGAAGATTTATCAATGAATTTCAAAACGTAATCACACAATAAGTTCATATCTGATTAGGCAACAAATTGGTTTTATATGAGAGTTATTGAGGTTTTGATTTGTCCATATGTTGAATTTATCGTGGAAATGAGGCGTGAGCTGAAAATCTAGGAAGCACTGTATAACTGTCTCGACCTAGTTGGGTCTCATCAGCAGTGTGAATCCATCGACCCAATTGGGGATCAAATTCACATAGATGGTTTGTGCCGAATCGTGTATATTTTCAAATTGAGTTTGTATTCACATCGAAGCACTTGCACAGGTTAAGAACTGACTCATCGGATTTATGTGTTGCTCGAATAAGTTGCCTCCCGGCTTCAACTATATGCCAAGCCTCTGGAATGTACCATCCGATTTGGGTATGCTGACACTACATTACGCTTATTCGGCGAACCTCAAGTTTAATTTTCGAAGGTCATCTTTCATGTTTCTGATAATATATATATTTTCTTTCAGGATACGGGATAATACATACATAGTTTTTAGCCACAGAATTTATCAATTTAGTTAAACTAGAAAATCTTCAACGATCGGCTGATTTCTTGTGCACCAAATGAAAAGAGAAAAGTTATTTGGAATAAATGTGTGAGACGTAATAACTATTCACATGAAACAACAATCATTTACTAAAAAGAATGAACCTTCATGTTGCGTTGAGTGAATTCTGTTTTAATTCTGAGCTATAAATTTTCGAACTAACGCAAAGTTTGTCTCAGCGCTCAAGGTCGTGCAAAATTCAAATGGCGATACAGGAGAAATAAGATCAAAACAGTGTGATATAAAGTTCAGAACAGATACTCGACACCCATAAATACTAGTATACATTTATTACATGAAAAACTGAAATGTATTTCTAAAACAAGAGTTATGTTGTACGAGTTCAACCATAACGTGAGTATATAATTAATCAGGGTTTGGTGACACGTTTGACAGTCATGTTCAGTTTTAAGAAATCGCGACACATGGAGCTCCAAGTTATTTCCATCTAGACCGTAGTTAAACAATAACAACATGAACAATAAAGCATTATTATAATCTCCTCTGCACCTCATTCATGAGTTTTTGTGGTTCACCAGTCTATTCTATAGATTAATTACGAAAACTTCCCTTTCAGAAAAGTCAAACGGTTATCGAAGCTGTTGCAATCCTTATTGAAGCGTTACATAATATAGATAATTTGGGGGTAACTTTTCATTATAACGCCTTTATTTCCTGCCGTTTAAACTTTATTAAAAATTAGAAGCACAAGAAAATCAATTCTTCATGAAGTGAAGACTGCTGTACCTTATGATACAGAAATAAAAACACTGATCACAATGCACCGGAACAAAACTATGCTTTTCCTCCAATTATAGCGATTTCCCATCAATAACCAGGAAGTTCTTCGTTGCGTTATTCATCTGATCAATTTGAAGGAAGAAATGGACGTGGTTTCTCGAATATACAATCCCCTGTGTCAACAGTGAGTTCATGCTCATGCGGTATTTTTTTGTGTCGAATTAGATATCTTAGTTTTCTTGCTAATAATGATTGTAGAATAGACAAATCTTAAGAGATGAGGCAATCGTTGTACAACACGGACCAAGATTGTCTTATTTGATACACCCTCAGACAAAAAACGAGAACTGCTGTTTCTCAGATTTTACGTGGATAACTGGTTATTTACATGGAACATTTCATTCACAAATAAACAAAATGACATTTTAAAATGCCATCAATAATAAACGGTTTTGTGTGAAGCGTTCTTCAACAGGCATTACCAAAACATGCGGTTAACTAAGTTATTCGATAAAAACGTTTTCTCACTATTTAGTATTGCCCGATTAGTTTAGTAATAGTTTCCATTTTTTGACGGTCAATCAGGTTTTGGTTTGCGAAAAAATCAAAAAATTGTTTTTTATTTGAACTGACTATGCTTCGGACTTCACAATCCGAAGTTCATCCAGGCAACCATAAACTCGGAGGTACTAGACTCGGGTTTAGCTCTTATTAGAGCTCATCAGTTCAAAGCAAATAAAAAATAGCTATAAGTTGAAGGTCATCAAGTAAAACATGTGATGTTACCGAATACGTTCGTAAGTCACAAAAGTACAGGCATAATATGGTAGAATTGATGTTGAGAATGGTTGCGAGTAGACGCAGAAACCGAGTCGGGTTCACGCAAGCCACCGCATGCTTTTCCTTGCCAACGTGTTGAGCATGCTACTTGGAATAGGTGATTTCAATATCGTTCATCTGTTTTTAGGGCGTCCTTGGTCTAGATAATCCCGGTATTTTGGCGGGAGAATAGATGATGTCCAAGGAAGAAGCATATGATGAGAAAACGGGAAATCATATTAAAGAGAAAAGTACGTAAAAATTCATTTAGGGAACCAAGAAAATGATTCCTGGATGTGAAATGAGAGTTCACACCAACCAATATTGAATAGAAGAGCTAGAGGAAGGAGATTTACGAGTAGGCCAGTCGATATGTCAAACATAATTCAGTTTGCAAACTTGAAATAAACTCTGGATATTTCGATTCAAAAATTTGATTGCCAGAATAGCTAAGTGAACGACTGAGCAAGTTTAAATATTCCCATGATAGTCGACAGCTGTTTCGTCCTATTTGGGACTCGGCAACAGTGCGTACTTTTACTGTCCCTGTCAGTACTCAAACCACGGAAATTTGGGTCGGAACTTCAAATCCTTATCCCTGATCTACATGGTCGACGCTTGTCACCTTGCGCGAATGGCTCAATCAATTTGGACGATAAATGTTTGAATGCTGCTGATCGTCAACAGCGTCCGGCGCCTGTGGAAAACCGAATGAGCTTATCCAAACATTGATCATCTAAATTCCCATGATAGCTTTTAGAAAACGAGTTCGTAAGCGTACACTGGTCTTCGGATATTCCTAGTCATGCTGTTGAATGCAGTGGGAAAATGCTTGCTGAATCCTTTACCCGCTGCGTCTGATTGAGCCAAGGATTCTCATTCATTTTTGCACGACATGATATATCATAGCCCGATCAGGAATTTCGAGAAAGCGGGATAATCAGCTTAAGGTAGCGCATCAACAACCTAAAAACCAGTACAGAGGTAAGGAGAAAGTACTACCCTAATGGAAGTGTGTTACTTGAAATTAGGTCAAATAAAGTGCATTTGAAGGAGTTTGATCGAATACGGAATGGTTACTCGCAACGAGCGGTAGAGTCGTCCCGTTAAGTGTTTTGTGACCGAGAATGGCTTGTAAACCAGGAGGTATCTATTTTTGCGGCAGTTCCGAATTTCCCTGTGGAATAGCTCTCCTAACATTGGAATATGGTTTTGCACTACAAAATTCGTT